TGCTGGACAATTCCTTCATCAGAGGAGCGGCTGTGTGGAATGTCCGGAAGATGGGTGGAGTGTTGCTGGAAATACGAACCCATCTTGTACAGCCTGTCCAGAAGAAAAAGGTGTTGTAGCTGGGCAGGGTAAACAAGAAAGTGACTGCACATGGAGTGAGTTAGATCACAATTCACACTGTTATAACAACCCAGTTCATCAAAAATCAACTTTATTATTAACTATAGTTATAGACGTAGAAAGCTTTTTTGATCACTGGAAATTGAAAGCAAACAAAACTTTCATTTTTTCGGCAGATTTCGATTTGAGAGAAGTTGTAATTTGGTCTATTAGTATTATATACTCTAATTATTAATTTAGAAAACTTTGTAAATTTAAATTGTTACATTGGTAGAGAAGGTTTATATCTGTTATTTTCAGAACCGTGCGATGCAGGACAACGTCTTGACCAGATCAACGGTTGTGTAAACTGCCCGGAGAATCAGTGGAGCTCGGATGGAAATAACGCTGCTACTTGCCAGGAATGTCCTTCAGGGAAAGGGGTGGCAGCTGGAGAAGGGAAAAAAGAAAGTGATTGTGCTTTGGGTAAGTTAGGCTCTTCTATTTTACTTGTAATCAGACCTTACCTTATTGGACGTCATTTTACCGGACATTACGTGAACGGACATAATTTTGAACGGACAATAAAATAAAAGCTCGAAGGCATTCAAAACCATTTAATTAAAAATCTGAATTTTTAAAAATCTAATTGGGCGTTAGTCCGATGATAGAAATTGAAGTTTACCGAAATGAATAATTAGTTATATCTTGGACAAACTTTAGTTAAACAGACATTAAAATGAACGCTAGTGCCTCCAGCGTCTAATTATTGTCTGTTCAAAGAAAGTCCGGTAAGGTAATTTAATTGTGTACATTCATTAGAAGATCAAGAATTACAAACTAATAGTACTTGACTTAATTGCTTTAAACACTACCCTTAAGAAAACCATTCAGCAAATTTGATCATGTACCATATTTTTTTCTCAGAACTAGAATGCCAGACACTTGACTTAACTTGGAAAAACGTACAGACAAACGCGAATTTGCCAGCTCAAAATGAAGAGGAGATAGAGTTGACTTGTCAACTTGCTTTCATCAACAAGGGGGGCAACAAGGCAACTTGTCAGAACGGTGTTGTAGTCCCAACAACCCAACCTCCAGCTTGCTCTATAATTGGTAAGCCCCAGCCCTTGGATAAGGGTATTTATCTCTATTAGGCGCAAAATCTAGAAAGTATTTATCATGACGTGATAATTCCAACCAAGACCCCTGGTTGCATTTTAAATATAACAAACATGGCATACATGGCCTTGTACAATTTCATGGTACAAGTGGGTTTACTGTAAATTGGGTATAGTAAATTGGGGTTTGGTAAATTGGGGTGTGGTAAATCGGGGTGTAGCAAATTGGAAGTCCACTCTGTATAATGATTTCTTAACTCAGATATTTGTATACATTATAGTCTATTAAAAATCCACTGTGTACACTGTAAACTATAAAAAAGTTGAAAGTCAAAATTTTGAAACGCGGGTTTAAAATTTACCAAGCTTAACGAACCGGAACAACTATAGTCTATACTCGACCGTGAAGTTAAGCGGAAGATAGTGAACTGGATTTTCATCGAGGATCGTCCAAAGTAAGAGTAAAAAATTCATGACTGCACCTCATCGCTGGAACCGAACTCTTGATTGCCCTCTTTGAAACAAAGGGGTAACATGATTCACAATTTGGATATTTCCATCTACTTACTAGCTCGAAATAAATATAACGTAGTCGTAACAATCTTAAATTTAATATAAACAATACAATAATTTAGGGCGATCATATCAATATCCAGACAAATCGTTTCCATTTTATTTCAGATTCCGAAGATTGTGACTCAAGACTAACACTAACAGATTAACAGATACCGATACCTGATGGATCTGAATCAGCTTCCAATTAGGTTTGTTTACAGTTCATATCTGAATTGACGTTAATGTAGCTGAAAAAAAAAAGATTCATTTATTGACTTACGTGTTGTGATTTGTGAAAAAATACATTCTGTCGTTTCGTGACATTACATTGGCGATTAGCCAAGTTAAACTTGCAATTAGCCCTTAAACACTGACAGTGACGATTTCATGTTGTGGACTAACATTTTCTGCTTTTTCTAAGTTTGTATTGCAATGATTCTCAAAGACCCCAGATCATACTTTACATTTGGTGTGGCATCATTCCAGCAGAGGGCAAGCATTAGCATAAATTATCTTCATCATAGCTGCTTATAGTCTGTGTTCTGAATTTACATGAGCTTTGAGACAAGGGGAGAGACAAAATTCTAATCTTAATATCTCTCAACAATCCAGGGTATGGTTTAAATATCAGTCTAAACTGGATAATTTGCAGGTGTATTGTTATAGTCGGACCTAATGCATCATACGGACACCACACTAAATAGCCCTTCCTTCGTCCACACAAGGTTTACTGGGCGGCGCTCAGCCTGTCATTCCGCCTAATCTCTATTTATGAAAATGATAGCCTGAGGTCCCCAGGTAACACAAAGTAAGACAATCTACTTAGGACGTCCGGCAAATAGGGAGGGGGTCGTTTTGGAAATTCGGACAAATCCGGACAGGGGGAGGGGGTGGTTTCTGGAAATCCGGATGTTCGGAAATTTTGGCAGAATTAACGAAAAAGTTTCATTTATTTCAACTCTTTGACCATAAATTTGAGTTGGTTTTATTTGTAATTGTACTCTTAAAAGTAGCTGGAAATCCGGACGTCCGGGGGAGGGGGTGGTTTTGAAAATTCGGACACACTCGGACAGCTGGGAGAGGGGTGGTTTGAAAATTTGCGATTTTGGCGAACGTCCTAAGTAGATGGCCCCTAATTGATGTATGACTATGATTATTTTCAAATTTCATTGGCGAATAGAAAACTGAAGCCTACAATCTACATATACAGTCTTATATTACATTTATAAATTCGTTTGGTAATACAAATAGAACTTTTTTTGAGTACATCAGGTGAACAGATTTTGACAAGGATAATTTTTGTCATACGTTGTATGACCCACCGCGCACGAAGTGCGCGGCTCCCCTCGTATCGTCAGGACGATACGAGATCACCACATAGTGAAACGACCGTGGGGGTCGCAACGTGATACAAAATAATTTCAGTTATCTAACACCGGAGTAACGAAGGACAACTTTGAAAAGACGGCTCTCCCAAAAGCAGCAAACCACCATGATGAACTATTGAAATTTGAAACTAGGAAACTGATTTATTTGTGCAGTTATTAACGGGTGATACTCGTAAAATATTTGTTCCGTCGACGAGTCCAACTCGGCGCGCGTCCTGGTAGGTTGTAAACATACAATTACAATGCAGTTATAGACCGGACAATTGGTATGCTTTGTTTCAAGGACACTTTTAAAGCAAAGGCATAATTTTGATTAACCGTGGCCGTTAATAATAATTTCAAACAGTATTTTTGTCGCACGTACGTGGAAGGGGTATAACGATTTTTGTTTCTTTTTCAATAAATTATATTTTTCTTGGTAAAATTTTATCTATGCTTAAGTAATTATTTTTTTAGGTGGTCAATATTTGTATCACGTCGTGACCCCCACGGTCAGTTCAATTTTTTGGTTCGTATAGTTTCTCACAGTACATTTAAGTTTGGGTTGTAGCCGTAGGTAAAGTTTATAACTTTAATATTCAGCTTTTGAAGCACAAATATTTTGTTAATAAAAAAGTAAAAATAAAAAGTGTAATATGGCAAAAGATTTCATATGCGTAAGTTGAGTTAATGCTATTGGCATTGCTATAGTGTTAGTTTGTTACGTTAAAATATTTGTCACATGATATGTCACGAGTTTTTCAAAAGTATAAAGTAGGATTTTTACTAATACTATTTACTAATGGCCCTTGAGGCCCCAAATATCGCATTCGTTATTTTGTACCAGCCACCAAGACTCAAGCTACAGAACGCTATCAAGCGAGTTTAAAAATTCGAATTAAACGTTTGGCAATCGACTCTTAAATATTTTAAGGGCAAGAATTGTATATTTAGTGAATCATTACGCTTTTCCCATTTATTACAGGTAACCGTAAAGCTGCGAGGGAGAAAGAGAGAAGGGGGGGGGGAGAGAAAATTATTCTATATGGACACGTTCATTCGAGTTTGAGGATATTGGTAAATATTAGTGGCCCTATTAAAAGGCACAGTGTAGTTGACTTTGTCACACTATGAAATTATTTAAACCCTTGATGGACGATGGTTAGGATAACCGTTTCATCCTCTAGGCAAACTTTGTCACATAACGATGCGATATCTTAATCGGGTGATATTGATAAGATATCGCCTAAATACGGCCGGCACGGAAATGGTTATTTTGTCACACTATAAATATGGCCCCCGTGCTGCTGTTTTTGACCAAATTTTCAAGTGTCCAGTTGATAAGATGGGTACATATGACCATTACAGCATTACCTACATATTTCTATATTTGACGACTTTTTCGTTAAACGGTGCACCCAGGTTTACTCCGTCACACATTTAAGAAAATATATGAGGAATGTTTAGGGCACTCTGACAAGGAATGCTCAATAGTGAGTAGTGTAGGATTACTTGATGACCTTGAAGGTATGGGCAAATAGGGCAAATTAAATAATATTAATTTCGTCACATAAGTTATTTTAAAAGTTTGATCATTTTTCGTTCACATCGACATTTTTATTATCATGGTTGGAACTTGGAATTGATTGATACACGAAATATAGCAGCCCATACTAGTTTTCGGCTTAAGTAGTAGTAGTACTACTACTATATACTTCTAGAAGCACATTTTCAAATATGAACTTTCCTGGAACGAAATTTCGGACTGGTGTCGGTTGTTGGATAGCATCTTTCGAGTGTTATATCTCCACTAGTTTTATTTTTGCACCTTTGTGATAGAAATAAAATTATTGTTTTTCAAAATCTGTGTTCATCTGATATCAAAATATAATGCATAATTTACAAAAATAAACAATATATTGGAACGAGACTTATCCAAGCAGTCACTCAGTTAGAAACCTAAAATTTGTCAATTTTAAACTTATATTGATGAATAACATCGATAATTAATTTAAAATCTTTCTGTCAAAGTTTCATACTATTATTATTAGTACATAAATACATAAATATTAAATATCTGTCAATTACTTCAACTATAAGCTACTAACTGCTAGATGATAATGGCTAGAGTCAATGCAAATGTTCTTTATAACGGATGTTTCTGTGTGTTTTTTTCCAAGTCACATTGCATGATAATTCATTCTGCCTTCAGACATATAAACGTATCCTCAGCCTGATAACGTCAGAATAATTAATTAATTATTAATATCCATCATTCGTTTCCCTGTTATTACGATGCCACAAATAAGTTCTACAGTTCCCGATTTGGTGTGTGAAGAAGATTAAACTTGGTTTCCTGGACGGATGTCATGTGCCGGATCGTGGATGTGGAGATCAGGAGCTCAACCACCACAAATAGCAGGAGTATGACTTGTACTGATACCTGAAATGAAAGGATATTAATAATAATTTAATTGTGATTATGATAATTGATAACAGCACATAATAGCCCCAATTCACACCTTTTGTTATGATATTTTTTGCTATGACTCTTTCAGTTCAGCCCTACAATAATAGCATACGTTTGTTTAATTTGATCTCTTCTGATATCATGGTTTTGTATCATGATTGAAACATTTATCTGACTCAACCGGTCGTTTCATTTTGAATCTAGCTCTCGGCTTGCCGATTGAGCACTGTCAGCAGACGACGCCATCCACAATTAACATTTTATACATATATATATATATCACATAAGCATAAAAAGTAATAACAAGTACAGAAAAGGAGGACATGAGGTAACATCACATGGAAAATCGAGCGAAGATAATAAGGGTTAATTAATTACTAATTCAAATTCTCAAATGAATTAAATAGAAAAGGAAGAAATTCTAATTGGGTAGGAAAATGGTCTAACATGCGAGTGATGAGGTGTAGTAGTCGTGGCGCCGCGCAGGGTAAACGGACCTTATAACTGATAATTATAGTTCATTTATAACTGATTCTGATAGTGATAATTGTTTCCTGATAGTTGCACCATATTTGTTTGAAAACGTTGTACAGTTATACTGGCAAAAGTCATGTCGACATTTTCTGTCGACTGTTTACAACCCGGGGCTGTCTTAAACCAATTAAGAAATGTCCTGGATACTATTTTCATGGCAATCGTGTAGTTTCCTACCTAGCACGGCCACCCGTAAATTTATACTTCTCGTCAGTAGAGCTACTATGATTAATGAGATCAATCATCGGCAGACTTATTGGTGAAAGTATTAAAGCTTGTGTAACAACCCACTTTAGGGTAGAAACATCTCCCTTAAAGATTGACAACTTTTTCCTTTTTTACTTTTCTTAAAATTTTATCCGTCGATCTAGCGAGCTGTGAGAAAACGGCTATTTGTTAGACCACTTCACTCACACATTAATTAATACTAATAGTCCGCTTGTTCCTTTATTTCCTTCTTATATGCTCTTGATTCTGCTTACATCAATACAATAATATCGCCTACGTGGGAGATGGTGCCGGTGAAGTCGTGGACATTAGCCAAGTTTAAGAGAAGAGGTGGCTAGTGATCAATGCTTTAAAATCATGCTATAAATGGTTGGCCCTTGTCACCAACACGGTAATGATATAGAAAAGCTCTCGCTTCGCGTGTCACGTGATTGTGACGGGTACCATGTGTTTTGGCAAGCGATATATCCCTTTTAAAATTAGTTATGTCTAATTTATGATTATTATTAATTATCTAATATTATGCCACGCTCGCCAAAAGCTGCCATCTACATTTCGAGCTTCTGGTATAATTGTATTGTGAGTTTGAGCACTTAGAGGCGCGCATTTCGCGGTACGTGGTACGTGGTATAGCCATTACTCTAGAATTGTCAATGGTATTGGTGACGATATTCTGCAGAGTTGTAGTGCAAACTCAGATCTAGTAATACTAAATATTTAACAGGCCTAAGCTTTAACAGGCCTAAGCCTTATAATTATGCGTAACAAGAATATGCCCTAGCTCTAAATCAAGTTCTAAATCAAATCTGATGAGTCATGAAATGTCGTGTGGTACTGGTAAAGGTACCTACTTCAAACGATACCTACATCTACTTGAACTAGCGCAACACTTCCTTGCAGTCACTATTTCACTAATCATAGTTACAACAAAACTTTAACTTTGATAATAGGACTGATTTATTAAACAGATCACTGCCTTCTAATTAGAAATTAATAACAGTAAAACGCAAATGTACCGCGCCTCAATTTACTGCAAGGGACGTTGCATAGACGTTGCATAGACGGTTCTTTTGTTGTTGCACGGACGTTGCATAGACGTTGCATAGACTGTCCGGAGCTAAACGACCAACTTCCCCAATTTACCGCCCCCCCCCCCCCTCCATTCACCGCGGCTTTCCTTTCTTTCCTCCAAATTTTTACTTCAAAATTCACAAAAAACTTTTTCGACAGTTTTGATATTTTCAAGTTGGCACATCTTTAAATGTTATAATTATCTTCGGAATCAGTGCCAGGGCCGCCCTGTATACATATCTCATATCTATCCATGTCTGATTGTTTCTTCTCCGTGTATAGAACGGTTGATCCTCCGTTGCAAAGTGTTTAGCATCTGAAATGGAGGGAGCCCGCTCTTCAGCATATGAATCACTTCTCACTTAGACGTTTACATTTAGAGACGGGTGATTATCTGGTAGAAATAGTGGACTTTATTGACTCGATACTGGTCCTTTACAGTTCTCATGACGTGACACTTTACAGTAAACCAGACTCAAGGCGAGCTCATTAGCTTGGTTCAAGTTGTCCTTGTTAGATCGTGCTCTTTACTGCTTCAAAATCCAGATTTACCGTGGACCCCGATTTACCGCGGCGTTTTATCTTTTCCCCAAACTTCACGGTAAATCGGGGTCTTACTGTATACAATAAATATATATTATAGCATATGCCCGTTCCATTTTGAGTTTGTGTTCGCTATTTTGCAACCCATGATTACATGCGTCTATCCCAACCATGTTCCAATAAGTTACCACTAATTGCCCAGGCTCGTCTATCTTGTGATAGTACACAGTTGTCCAGTCTGCAAACGTGGAAACTGGAACTTTCACGAATTACATCTCTGTGTCGTAATTATAGCAGTAGAGTTTAATGCTTAGTTTTTTGTATGTTTAATGTGGATTTAATGCCTTCATCTTAGTGGCTTGGAGCTTGTAATTAGGGGTAATTAGTATGATTAAGTTTTAGCGTTCTAGTTCTGTCCAACTATCTTTCGTAGGTACAGTGGTTCCTTAGACAATTATTTAGAAATATGATGCAGCGGTTTTTTATTCGACTCGGTTCCCGGATGAAGAGATTAATTATTTCAATAATTGCTTATAATTGCTTTATAATTGCTTTATAATTGCTTTATAATTGCTTTATAATTGCTTTATAATTCTGTTTTATAATTCTGCTGAATTTGAAAAACTGTGAAAACAGAAACGTTTATGTCTACCCTTCCCTTTCTTTCCGACTGGTTGTGAGCATCATATTTTTCTCGTTGGTTGCAAAACATTTTATTGAGGAAAAAGGCAATTTTGGTTGCGCTATTGAATATCAACTGCGGCTTAAAGATATTACCTCACAGCACCACATTTAAAACTTGTTGTTTTTGCAAAATATTTATTATAATTGAAAATCAAACGATTTGGATTTTGGGTGGTATCAGATGATTGTAAATTTAGAAATGTACAAACTAAAAAAGAAGTCACGGCACCGGGTGGGCGACAATTGACCCCCCGACAATTGACCCCCCGATATAATTTAATACAATTAACCCTGACCCTGACCTTGACCCTGACCCAGGACCTACGACCCTGACCCTGACCCTGACCCTAACCCTAACCCTGACCCAGGACCCAGGACCCTAACCCTAACCCTAACCCTAACCCTAACCCTAACCCTGACCCTAACCCTAACCCTAACCCTGACCCTAACCCTAACTCTAACCCTAACCCTAACCCTAACCCTAACCCAAAACCCTGACCCAGGACCCTGACCCTGACCCAGGACCCTAACCCTAACCCTAACCTTAACCCTAACCCTGACCCAAAACCCTGACCCAGGACCCTGACCCTAACCCGATCAATTGACCCCAGTGTAATTACATGGGGGGTCAATTGTCGGGGGTCAATTGTCGGGGGGTCAATTGTCGTACTAAACCCTATATTTCGCGACAATCGACCCCAGTGTAATTACATAGGGGTCAATTGTCGGGGGGTCAATTGTCGGGGGGTCAATTGTCGGGGGGTCAATTGTCGCGGTACCACGGCACCCACCTCTAAAGGAAGTAAGTTAGCGTCAGTATTGAGGAGGGAGAGTAGGCAGAGTGGTAGTTGTAGTACCAGAGTGACCATCCAGAAAGCAGCTAACTCGGGTACCCGCTCCTGTAGGTTACCAAGGTAACCAAAGTAGAGTCTGATAGCTTCACACACCTGGTAACAAGACCGGTTTTTTTTGAGTGAGCTGATCGGTTAACCGTTGAGGGCGACTAAAATGATAACTTTTATCATGATTTCTAGAAGCCATTCATTATATATGAATAAGAAAGTGTAGTTTTAAATTAAATTTTAAACTGAAGGTGAGAACAAACCGTCATAATGCAGAAGATAGTGGGAGTAACGAACTGGTATGTATCTGGTAGTGCACTGTGCTGAAATTAAAGTTATTTAGATTCACCTTACATAACTTACATAACTTAGGGTGTAACATAACTTTGGGTTAAGTGGTGGATCCTGAATACCATAGAAACTAGAAAGTAAGTTTTAGGCATTATGGCATTATCATTATCAATAGACTTTTTATTTCATTTAATCGGGGGATTTATAAAAAAAGAGCTAACTTTGGGAGGAAATAATAGCGAGTAAATACTCGACATTTTGCAAAATAGATTAAATGATCAACATTACGGCCAAAGTAACCGTATTATACCCAATTACTATCAAAGACCCTAAGTAGCTAGACTGTACGTGATGCCTTCGCAAGTAATTGGCTATCAAAGACCCTAAGTAGCTTGACTGTACCTGATGCCTTCGCAAGTAATTGGCTAATGGACATCGTTAACCAAATAACATCCAATTAAGCACGATACAAACGAATTTTACGAAAGTCGATACGGAAGTATTTGTTATTTAGAATGTAGCCGCGAAATATATATAGAGCTCGCCAGGACATTGCGTTGCGATCTAAGAGCGTAATAACATTTAATTTGCAGGCATATTTTGATTTATACCTTTAAATTGTTTACTGTGATATAACGGGTTAGTTAATCTGATTACATATAGTCAACGAGTTTACGAATTTTAGTTTATTGTTGTTAGCCTTACTTTTGTAAGCAGTTACGTTTTCAGACGCGGGCGGTTTAGCTACCTACATATTATGATTAGATACTAGAACTGACATTGTCAATCTTTAATTGTGATCAGCAATGTTATAGAGAAGTCCTCAATTACGAACCTTTTACTAGCCAGCTATAAGATACATGTCAGTTCTTTAAGCGACCTTGTCATTATATTATGGACGTTCCTGTAGTGAGGAAGTGGTAAAATGGGGACTTGTCATCCCATGGCAACATTTAAAATATTGTGGTCGATTGGGCCATAATTGCTATCCGTATTCCGTATCATCCCGAGAATCATATCGCACCTTGCAAATTTTATCGCACATGTTCCAGCATCCAAGGTGCAACATATTCCTAGTATTTGTTCATCCCCACTTGATACGTTTTGCCATTAGATTTAGGCTGAAGTAATGTATGTTTCCAGTATTCTAATAAATCAGTAAAATTTCTGGCACGAAAATTGCATATTTTTAACTAGATTTAAATAGTTCACCAGTACTGCAGACCACCTCCAGTTGCCCAATCTCTTTTGACATGTGGCTTGTGGAGTAGGGCAATAATATTTTCCAAATATTTAACGTTTGAATGTTAACTTCATGTAAATACGGTATACCAAACCTTTGAAAACGTTCGGTAGCGTATTTACATAAATTCAACATAAGGTTTATGGTCTCAAATATTAAAGCCATATGCATATCGTGATAGAAATATGTAGCTACACCATGGCTTCTATGGTATTATTAGAATATCTTATGTTTAATATTCTTCATTTAAATTTTAGTTCTTTGACGGTGAAAATACTGAGTTGAAATATTTTTCAATTTGTATATTTTTATAAATTCTGAGCGAAATCACTTATTTTTAAATTATGGAATTTAGAAAACAAATGGGTTTAATCAAAAGAATATTTTCAATATTTTGGCGTGCATACAAAGTTTGGCTATCAGTCTCCAGGATTTTCTTACCATGGTTTGGAATGTTTCTCGACGCTAATTGGTGATGCCCGTCAAACTTTTGACTAGTTGAAGTAAAGTTAATGTTATCCTTTAATTGATGTTAAATGTTCCATTTCTATTTAGCTAAGCTATGTAGGTAAAATAGCTGGTGACAGAAAAACCATAACCAGCGATTAAGAAGTCGCCTACCTAAAAAAGCATACAGCTTGAATTTAGAATACCACATACTGTAGAAATTTTAACAATTATGGAATGGCAGTGCTAATACGAGGCAAGGTTTATACTGATGGTCGGAGCTAGTTGATAATTAACACAGCTTCAACACTAGAACCTACCCATTAAGATACTCGCTTTCTTTCCAGCTTCAACACTAGAACCAACCCATTAAGATACTCGCCTTCTTGCCACCACTCATTGACACGTGACAAGCGTTTATTCTGGGTAGACTGAGACACGGTGATTGAAATTAATTATACGGTATTCGGTAATTCTCGGGGTGCTCAATTCTTCTTGGAATAAAACGAGATGGTTTATCAACGCAAATAATTAGGGTCAGATAAGAAGTACCGTGAAATACAAAAATCAGGTACAGTTGTTACCAATACCATTAAATGGTAATCATTTGTCGCATCTGATTTCGGGATCTTTTGTTACATCATTAAAGATAGTTGCCAGAGCATTCGGTGAGGTGCTATGTGTATCGGTGGAATCTACACTGGCAGTGGCAGTGGCAGTGTCTTTATCATTTATATAACATTTCTATTGTTGTTAGTCTGTTGTAGGTAACCGACATATCTTGGTGAGGTGAGACCGTGCTTACCGTGACTTGTACCCAAGCAGTCAATATTTCCGTGCTTTCAAATCAGTTATTAATCAAACCTTCCGCTTCCCTCGGTGTCTAATATTCGTTGACAAGTTTAAGAAGCCCAAAATCTTATCTCCTGGCATATTATTATTCCGGACAACTAGCAACTTCCTGTGTTTATCCGCATTTTTCGTCTAAATTCTTCTTGTCAATTGTCAATAATTATATCCTTATTGGTAACTAATCAACTTATCAAAATGACGCCGACTACATCAATTAAGTGTTACTATCACTGAGTTATTTGATGTGTAGTTGTTATTGACTTAAAGTTAAATCCACTATCAGCTCTCGTTTAAATATATTATAACAATGAGCTTGTCTAGAACTGGTTAAATCAGATGTAAACTACTATTTTAATTTTGTACTAACGATAACAGGGCGGCAAAACGTCGAGGAATGATGCTTAGGTCCGGTTTTTGATTTTATAGCGTTTTGTTGCACTATAGATTAAGTATAGAATTAAAACATAAATGTTGCATCGTTTTTTAAATCTAATAATTATGAAGAGGCTTTGACTTGTCGATAGTAACCAACTTATTAAATTATACAGGGTGGCCCAGAAGTAACTGCCCACACGCAAACACCAACGGGGGGGGGGGGGGGGGGGGGGGTGGGGCAATGGCATAAAATGGCATAAAATGGCATAAAATGGAGACTTTTTCTATGGGGAAAATGGAAAAACCCTTGAGTAATTCTCCATTTATGCCATTTTATGGGTCAAACTTAGATTCGCTGAAAGTCTCGTTAAATCTCGTCGATTACAGTTGGTGACACATTGTACATATCAAAATATTGAAAACGGATAATTTCTGCTGTCTCAGTTTTAGGACTTAAAGAGTAGATTATATGTGAAGTCTTGATCTTTTAATAGTCTCTCGAGTCTCGAGGATAAGTTGGTACCGATTATCGGTATGATGTGTAGCTATTTGGGATGGATATCGACTAATTGCCTCCGTTACCTGCTCTTTTATAGACAAGTTATGATATTGCTGTCTCACATTACTCGGCGGAAAAGGCGGATATAGCTAAGTTGACTCTAATACCAGTTAAAGTTAAAAGACACTTTTTCTTAAGATGTCAATAACATGAAATTTTCCTTTTTTTCGTTAATTAATAAAAATTTCCTTTTTTCATTGATTGATAATACAGTAAACCCCGGATTTACCGCGGAGTTTTGGGAAAGGAGACATCCGCGGTAAATCGGAGATTGCGGTATATCAAATGATATCATTGATGATAACTTACTCAACATAATAGATAAGGATCACAACTACAGATTCGTTACAATTGATAACAGTATTGATTACAATTGATACCTAGTGAAACTATTGAGGGTTACTTACTCAACAGTCAACATGACTTACCATATGTATAATAAGTAAGGATAATAACTGCAGATTCCTTGCGAAACTACCCAATGTTACTTTGTTGACTGGAGCCCGCTGGTCTATAACGCAATCTATACCGTAAAACACTAAATATCAGAACCGAATATAATATAGTTTTATACTTTTTCCTGATTCTAATTTTCCTGATTCTAATAGTAATAGTCGGGACCCTTGTTATTGAAACCTGAGAAGTTTTATGTGATTATTATATTAGAGGGTCGTGAGACTCGTGACGAAATTTTTAAAACGAATTTGCGTCGTATAATTCAATTCTTTGCTGTAAATTACTTTTTCCAAGAAAGTACCAGACTTGTAGTTGTAATTTTAATATGAAATTTTGTCTATCACTCTATTCAGTTGTTGTGTTTAATTGGACGAGTTCATTAAACGACGATTATCGTAGTTTTAAACTTTATCTATCTGTTCTTATACCCCCGTACGCGTCTGTACTTCTCATTTTAGTTCTACCATTTACCTCTATTTATCGGGTTTAATTACTCCTCCCCAATAAAGTAGGCCAATTAACTTTACTAACAATACATATTTCTGGAAATTTAAGCTTATATTAAGCTTATATTAAGCAATGTTGAGGAACTTTTCAAACTGCCATGAAAAAATGGCGGTGAGCACTTGCTATAAGTTAAACATGCGGGATTCATTTTAATTATATCATGCTTTCCTGATGTTGGAGCAGAGTAAACTTAATTTGACAACAGTCAATTTGGCGGAACAAGCATGCTTTCTTGTAGTACGCACGTATCTTAATCAGGAACCGGTCGAGAAGGTGGTTTTATCTTCTACCCTGCTCCAAAATAACCAGATTGCAAAATGGACAAAGGCTTATTATAACACTATTAATGCAACGTGTGTTTGATTGATAAAACTCATCTGTAGGCAGCCAAAGGTGCAGGTTTTACAAAACATTTATTTGTCTGTTACAAGGAACGAAGAATTAAGTTGGGAGCGGCTTGTAATAGTGCGATTATTCATTGTACGGCAATGGTCGAAGAATGTGAAACTAAACCTAATTAAGCAAGATTAGTCTGTATCAGAGGAGGGTAGCGTCAAGCCTTTTGACCGATTTACATATATAAGGAATATGAC